CCTCTAAATAGAGACCACAGGCTTGAAGTGGTCTCCAAGCAGCATAAATGGAGGGTAACCGATCTTGAAACCTCTAAATGAAGACTGAAGATAAACGTTGTCTCCAAAAGATAACATGGGACAACCATTTATCTATTTCAAAGAAACTTTTGTTTTCTTTTAAATTTGTTTTGACCAACTTAAAGCTGTTTAAAACACATTTTTTTTAAATCTGAACAGCATACTATAAAGTAAACATAACATTTACACTTTATTTGACTAAAGTTACTGTAGGTTTAGGTATGTAGGTGTCCATCCTTTACATAAAGATAGATGTTATTTTCTTTTGTGTTGCTTGGCCTTTATTTATATTCCCAATCTTCAATAAGCAATTCTCCAGTGAGTTTGAAGGTTCCTCTTGGCCATGATAAAGTGGGGAATAGAAGCCCTGTAGCTAGATTGGAAGGGGGAGACCATTTACTGGAAGGGCCATGCCCACCTCAGTACCGCCATTGTTGCAGCTGAATTTGAATGGCCCTGCTTACCTCCCCTTTTGGCTACGGGGCTGGATATCCATTTCTTTTCACATCAAAGCGAATACCAACAGGGAAACACTCAGATGACTCTCTCCTTGCAAATCTTTGGATAATACCATTGTGTCAGGTGTTCCACCTTGAACAGATTTCCCCAATATTTTCTCCCAATAATTGTTTTTGTTACGATAAAAAATAATTTTTCTTTTAGTTTTAATTACTTACATATCTTTGATTTTAGCAAGGGGACCAACCATTTAGCAGGGAAATTATTTTCCCCCCCTTGGCTATGGGGCTGAGGGGATAGTGCAGCAAGTGAATGGCTGAAGAATAAAATCAGAAACATAAGACTGTATCAAATTAGGGATAAGCAGCTGATTCAACAGCACTTTTTTGCAATAGGTGCCAACAGATTGTTTTAAAACATATACTGAATATTTTATGACAGCCGGTGCCCCAAAACTAAAAATTTCGTTTTAAAAACTAGCTTTTTCAAAGAGAATACACTTAAGAAACCTTTTTATATGGATAAATTTATGAAAATACATCTGTTATAATTTTGAAGTTCAATTTTTCAAATTAAAGAGTATTTACTGTTAAAAAAAACTTTATCAAGCAACTGTTTATATCATTATGCATTCCCTCACAGATGCCAAGAGCTCATCTACCAGTCCCGGTTATATCCACATCAAAGATGCCTCTGGTCTGGATCTTTCGGAGCTACTTCACGAAATCCGCCGTTTGCGTGTCCAATTAGAGCGTAGCATCGAGACAAATAATGCCCTGAGGCAGAAGCTGGAGGAACTGATGAGTGACAAGTGGTCACCAAACAGTAAAACATCCACCACGACAATAACAATCAACAGTAAGGATAAAAAACGGAGGGAGGAATTGCATTTAGAGGATCTGTATAGGGACAGTCGACAGAATGTGTCAAGGCAATTATTTAACGGTAATTAAGCTACTCTGTAGATGCCTAGCAAATAAGCTAACCTTTTCCATTGTTTCACTAAGTAGAACACCCCTCTCAATAAATGGAACTGTCTGTCTATAGATCATGCTAAATTACCATGTGTGCATCATTCATCATTCATTTATATTAATTTGATAAGATTAAAAATGCTTATAAATTCTCTTTTAATTAAAATGCAGGAAGGTAATAAGTATTACATTATATTTTATCAAAATTATTTCTTTTCATTAAAAATGATAAATTTGATAATGAGAAACAGAGAGGATTACTAAAAGTAAATCAAATCTGTACTATATTGTCGCTCACATCACGAATTAACACAATCAAAGTAGGTTGTGTTAGTTCGTGAAATTACAGTAGCGCGTCAAAACGAGCGCGTATTGGTTGTCAAGCAACTTTGTATTCTTTACCACACAAAAAGTCCTTAACAACAACAGCACGTATTTTGATGCGCTTTTTGGATTTCACGAACTAACACAATTGAATTTAATTGTGTTAGTTTGTGATGTGAGCGACGATATGTCTATCTATTCATTTGTTCATATGTGTCTCCATCCATTGCAATCTATCATTGCTCTGAAAACTACATTGATTCTGCTGCCATCAAGCACATGAAAAATTTGCTGTTTCACTTTCAACAGATTTTTCTGTAACTAACAAATGGCTGTGCAGGTGGCCAACCTGCTGGCACTGTCCCTGCATTTCTTATGCATTATTAATTTCTTATTGATAATATTTTTATTTACAGGAGAAAGGGAAAGTACTAAGACTGGATCTCCAGTAAAATCCAGGGATACACTCAGGGACACCAACCCATCATTTGTTCATCAATCCAGTTCAACTTCCAAACGAACACAGTACAGATCAACAGATGACCTTATGGATCAGAGGTCAAGTCCACGTCAGCGTGATGCAGGAGTTGGCAGCTCACAACCAAGATCATTTCACATGCAAACGTTTGACGCAGACATTCCATATGATTCAACGTTATACAGTTCAGATGGTACGACACATTTTCTGCAAAATTGTTAACATTTGTTTTTTTAAACTAAGGAACCTGTTCTGTAGCAAATACTGTTTATCCTTTTGATATGGCATGCTAAAAGCCAAGTCTAATTCTGGAATATTTAATAATCTTGAATTTATATATATATATATATATATATTAAAACAGTTTGCATTTACAAAATACACAATGCAAATAGAAACAATTGTAAACAGAAGCCTAAACAAACCCAAACAGTATATTTTCATAATGAAATTAAATAAAATGCAAGTAAAGAACTGAATATTTCTCATTCTATACAATCAATCAGTAATTATTTTTTGTTTAATCCTTAACTTTAAATCTTGTTTCAATTTATTATTATCAAGAATTGGCTCCCGGTCAAGGGAGAAACTTGGAAAAGATGTATGCCATTGGTACTTTGCCAACTTACGAGTCCTTAAGAGCATTTTTAAATGAATCATGTGGTGCATTGAATGCCCTTGAGGTTCACTTAAAGGAAAAGATGGCTAAGGTATGAAGTAGTTGAGATGTAAATTTAAGCATTTGTGTTGTCTTTACTTTATTAAATGTTTACCTATGTACACCAACAATTGCAAATATTTCCTTAAAGGAACACCCAGAAAAAATAACAGTTGTTCCGGTAGGGAGATTTTTTGTTGAGCCAGTTAGTCGCTTACCTTAGCAACGGTTCCAGCAATTGTTACGGTCACTTTCTCAGGCTTACAAACCCGTGAATGAGTTTTGGTCATTCATGCATAATATGTATAGCATCTCCTCACACTGTGCAGTACTCCTATCTTAAAGGATTTGATAGCTAAGATATAAGCCAGTTACGATTTGGATTTTAATTCCATATCTAAACAGGTTGTAGGGGACTCCATCATTTCCATGTTCTAGTGGCTGTGCCATGTGTTTGATTACAATAACAGGGTGCTTGCGACATTGTTCTTGGCTGCCTCTTTTAATTTTTTTATGTATATTGAAAATGTAAACATACTTTATTGCTTTTTTGTGATTGTGATGTAGCACAAAAAATAATTCCCTGAATGTTTACTATCATTTATCATTATTAATATTATTTGTTTTATTATCTATAATTATTGACATTTCAATAATATATTTAAATTATTCCATCTTAGGGCGGAATGGGAAAACAGCCCTCTGTATCAGGATGGTCACATAGTACACAGGCTCTCCGCAGACATCTGGAAGAATGTGCCCATTACCTGTCTTTATTCTGGACTGCGAGTATACCACCAAAAGATGAGCTTAGCAGGTTGCGTAGGAGACTAGCTTACCAAGATAAAGTGATGAAGTCGACATTGAAGTCATTAGAATCCACAAATCGAATGAAGGAAGGAATGGAAGCTGCCATCTACAACCAACGTAAGGCTCAATACTTCTTCCATGCAGTGTGTGAAGATGTACCTGTATGTTTAAACTCTATCCAGACTATCAAATTTTCTTCGACAAAAAACTGTTTTTATGCCCGTATTTAGGCATGCCACATGTTTTTTTTATTTACGTTGCTTTACACAACACATTACAAGATGAATTTAACATTCACTGACACATGCAGATAATGATAGCACTAGTACTGTACTGTTTTTATATCCATAGTGACCAAGACACATGATGTTCTGAAACAGGCTCGTGGTAACCTAGAGGTAGGAGGACTGGACTATTTTTCCCTATTTCAATCAATAATGATATAATTGTCTAATAGATATAGTATATATATTATAGTTATTATTGATCTTGGGTACAGTACTGATTATACAATATGCAACCTTCTCTGCTTACTGTGGAGTATTTCTAGTCTTGTTGCTAACTTAGTACCAGACATATTTTTTTTACCAGGTACCCATTTGTGAAGACAGGTAAATGTAGATAAAGTGTTTTTGTCTAAAGATATAAGTGATGTTAACGTCTGTATTAAACTCCTTGCAATTCAGTTGGACCTTAGTAGACTTATTACTAAATTATTATTAAATTTTCCACAACTTCTGTGTGTTTTGACATTAACTCTTTTTTTCCCATTTTACAGACAAGGACATTTGAGGCTGATGCTAATGGTATTATGTGTTCTCACAGTAGCAACCATTGAATTACAAAGACACTATAAACAAAATAAACCTGGAAAGAGGAATTTACTATGACTGAGGAAAGTTTTATGAATGCAGAATTGAACAAGAAAGAGGAATGAACAAATAAAATGGACTACAAATACCTTGAGAATCCCACCAACGAAAAATGTAGATAAAGCTATGAATCAATGCCCTTTAATTACTGCTGATCCCTGTTATGATCAAGTGGAGAATGTAAAGTTTTTAGATTTTTTTGGCAAAGTGGTGAATGTATTTTAAATAATCATTATTTTTAATTGTGGATTATATATTAATGCACGCTGTTTAACTATTTGACTACAATTACCAACATCTTGCATTTTCACTGCTGTTTACTTAATGAATGAATCTCTAAATGAATTACTTGATTGTTCAAAACCTGTGGCAGAGCCGAGGATTAGTGAATTTAGCCCTCTCTACTCCATCAACAGTAAAAAAAAAAAAAAAATTCACATTTTTGCCACTATGCCAAAAATATGGAATATTTGTAAAAATGTAAAAATAATGTCAATAGCAAATGGTGCAAAAATTACATATAATGCTGAATTTAAAACTCGATGGGCTTGCAAATGTTTTAAAATGAATGTCCTGTAATTATAAATTTTAATGATAATGTTCCTTCAAAAAATTATGCCCACCATCACAAGACATATTATTTTTAATATTGTTATTGATATTATTATTGTCTTTATTTATATTATAATTCTTTTTGTTAATATGTATGTGTATGTTAGACATGTTCAATGAACTGAATGCTTGAGAATAAAAGCTAGGGTGGGTGTTGTACCTATAACCTCCAGAATTACTAGTCTGGTATCAGGCCGCTTGATAAACTACTCTAGATTACAGTACAGTACTCTTAGTATTTATTTTGTTTAATTATTATAATAAACACCTGTAAATATATTAGTCGCCTCTTTGCCTTTCCTTGATCATGCTGTTGCATTCCAAATTGTGATTATCTCAAAATTATTTCCTAGTTTTCACTGTTTGTGGCCAACTTTAAGGATTATAACCAAGCAATTGCTCTATTTGTTCAGATTGGAAAGTAATAGTCAAGGTTTAACAATTACTTGTGCAATGCAACACTAAAAGTCTACTGTTCATTGACAAAATTAAACAACAAAATGAGACAATAATGACGAAATAAGGTTTTCTGCAAAATTCATAACCCAACTAAAAGTATTGAACTTTGTGTTGTGGGAAGGTTTCTGTCAAATTGAAATACTGTACAATTTTTATGTTTGTGATGCAAAGTTTTATAAAAATGGTAGCTAATTTTTCTTTGCTATTTTATTGGTATAATTTTAGCCTTAAGTATTGCTTGGTATTAGTAATATATAATTTAATACATTTAGCACCATGCTGTAAGATTTTGATGATTACATTGATATTTTATACGGTGGCAGCACTAGCGGGGCAGGGGGGCTTCCCATCGGACATGTCAAGTCCCCTCACCGGCCGAGCTTGTGGGGCCCAAAAAAAAAAATTGTAAAATAACTCTACACCAAGCCAAAACATGTCTTTCAGACGTACAGTGCCATTTCCAGCCATCCAGAGGTCCCTATTTAAAAAAAAATCTCATTTGGAAGGGGGACACCACCTCCCAAACCCTCCCCCTCCTCAGGCATACAAGCTCAAGCTTCCCTGTCGGACAGCTTAGCCCTCAGAAAATGCACCCTAGAGCCATCACTTATATCCTTGAATCATTAGTTATTTTCATATTTTGTTATATTAATATTTAGAGTATGAATATAACAATCTGAAATATATGCATGTATGCCATAGTCCAGTTCTGTGTATGTGGAATATGCTATCTTGTTTTTTTAGTTTTACACAATCTTCATTTTTTTTTTATCAAGACTTTATCTTAATTTATAACTTAATTGTATATTTGCTGCTATCATTGTTTTTTTACTTAAACTATTCACTTGGTTTATTAATTTTAAGACCGTTAACATTTTGTTTTATAGGTGTTGGAATTTTTAGTTATACAATTTAGCAAGTACAGTACATAGCTCCCAATAAAATGATTTGGTATACCAGGAGAATCCACATCTAGATCCCAAAACTCCCAATCTTTAAAATATGTTTTTCATATATATGACTTCTCTTGAAAATTACACTAAAACATTTAATTTTTGAGATTTATAAAACTGTATTCTTGATTCTTGGATTCTCCCGGCCATACCATGTGGTTTGGGTATGCAGATGATTGATTTTATAGTGCAAATAGTGGTGTAATAGAATTTCGTCTTAGGTGGAATATTGAAGTCTAAGTCACTTTAGTCAACAAAATAATAAATCTGTATATTTTTGCAATTCAAGTGATTTTTTAGCAATGAAGTAAAGAAAGATGCTTACAAAATTTCTTGTATTTGTTGTGTTTTTATTCAGTTCTATAATACAGTATTCATTTACTATCAAATACCTTGGGATGATATATTGCCTATAATTATGTATTATTATAAGTCAATCGTGACGTCATCACTGCAACTCCCAATGTTATTTGCCTATCCCCCACAGTACAATAATTTTTCACAATGTAAACTTGGCTTGACTTTTTTTTAAGCTCGTGTGCAAAAGAGCAATTCAACATTTGTACATATCACGCACTACGATGAATTCTAGGCTAGGCTTATTTGTTGACAAGTAGTAATTGAAAAATTAATTTCATAAAACAAGGTTGATTAGAACCCAAAGAAAGTTACTTTAATCAATAGACCCTAATAAACTATTGAATGAACATTTAATAGGAATATTTTAGACCTATTTTAAAGACTCAAGGAACGAAATTAGATGTAGGCCTTGGGCATGAGGCCGCCAAGGCCTAGATGGTAGCCATCCTAGACATGAAATCGTCACATGATTTTACCTGTCTGTTCCGACCAAAAAGTGATTAGGGCCTACTGTATTCTCTCAAAAGCTTTAAGAAATGTTTATTTCTTTGACGAATGTCTATCAAAATAGCATCACAGACATCATAGGTGAATGTCTATCTAAATAGCAAAATAGCATCACAATAAAATAGTTATTCATCGTATCCAAACTGATGTGTGACGTCTTGCTAGCTAGCTGTGTGTTTACCGAGTGCAGGAGCATATTAGCATATGCACACACAGCTAATGTAATACAACACCGGTATTAAACTAACATTAAAAGACGGTGATTAATATATAAAGCAATTAGTATAGCTGCATACATTGTACACTAGGTTGAAAATTATTATATTTACGTTAGATTTAATGCATTAAAAATTTCCTTTGGGCCTTGCAGGCCCTCAGAAAATGTTTTCAAGCATTAAATCTAACCTGTGTATAATAATTTTCAGGTAGTGTACTATGCGCAGTTCTACTAATTGCTTATTACTACTATAACTGAGTTGATGTCATACAGGGCCTCCAAACATTTTACTCATTCCTTTCTTATACTGTGCTCTATGTTCTTTAATTTTAGAGTCTAGCACCCTCAATTGTTTTATTATTGGTTTATTCTTAGGCTCTAATTGCAGTGCATATTTCAGATCCTCTTTGGCTTTTTCAAATTCATTTAAAGCCATGTATGCCTGGCCTCTCCTGTACAGACCCTTCACATTTTTAGAATCAATTTCTAGGGCATTATTGCAATGCTCAACAACAAACTCAAACTTGTCTCTTTTCAACTGACACGCTGCTAGATTCAGTAACGCAGCACATCGTACAGTGTTGTATGAATTCATCTGGTCTTCCTCGAAGGCTGTTATTCCACTCTCCACTCCCATTGTGACTAAAACTTTCAAGGATTTTGTGTAGAACTTCTCTGCCATGTCATACTTCTCACGTTTGAAATTATTAGTGCCGATATCTTTGAACTCTGTTGCCCTGGTTAATTTCTCAGAAGGATCCAACTCCCATATGTGTTTCCTTGGAGTAAAAGCTTTTAACTCAAGCGAAAATACCACATTTTTTAATCGATCACTGTCAGCAGTAGCATCTGTTGGTGGATCATCTTTAAATTCTGGCCACTTTTTCTTCACAATGGTCGATGGTATCAACAGTTCTGCGATCTCCTCCTCTTTCATGCTCTCAACACAAGCTTCAAATATTTCCGATAATTCACAATCACCATTTCCAATACACATATCAATACTTCGGTTTAACTTGTAGCCAATCACATTGTCTGTAATACTGCAAGCAACCAGTGGTGTGATGTGTACCAAACATACAGTTCCATCATTTGGCTTGGCACTTCCTTTGCCTTCTTGTTTAATTTTCTTGCTAAAAGTTTTATCTGGTGACTCCCACGTTAAAATGTGTTCTTGATTTTCCATCATCACTTTCAGCTCATATACAACATTCCTGGGGAGAAAAAAATTATAAAAAAAAGATGTCTTTTTTAATCAAATCCACTCCCCCACAATTTATTTTCCCCTTATTTTAAATTTAAAAAGGGGGCAATAATTTATTTTATTGAAAATTTGAAAAAAAAAAAAATCTTTCTTATAAAGATCCAGAGCTTTCTACACATTTAAGCAGTATATAGCACTCTTGGACATACTTATGCCCTAAATTGCACTAAAGTTAGACCAAGACATCAACATTAAATTGTGAACTACCATACCGCCAAAAACCCTTATCTTCCCTCCTCCTTGCCCCAAATAAGTCCCTAGAAAATAGCTAGAGGCCTAGCCTAGCTGCTGACGACATTGAGTGAGGCCTCCTGCAAACTTAAACAAAGTATCCCTGCTTCATGTTTGCTCAAGTTTTTCCTACATGTTTTCCATATGTAACCTAGAATTAAAAGCAATAAGATTTTAAAGAAAAAAAATAAACTTGCTTAATAAGTAATAATCACGACGGGCCGGTAACTTTCCAGACATGACATAATGAAATGCGGAAGTATTAATGAAAGCTGTCTGCTTCAGAAACGCACCAATCACATTCGCTGTAATGAAAGTGTTCGTCGTGGTGGCCAATTGAATTATCTGTAATATGACAATGTTGACCTTTTGTAATCCACTCACAAGGAAAAATAAATCAAGAGGTGAACGTTGAACGAAAAAGAAAACATAATCTGTTCCACGTAAACATGTACCAACTGCTGTGAAATTTTCAATTTTTATGAATGTATTTCAAGGTAAAAACGAATTCATTTATAAGTATTTCAATTAATGATCAAACATCATATAAAGCGCAAGAAAACCAGTGATTCATTGTTGATAAATTCGAAGAAGTAAAAGCGATTGTGGTTAGGCTGGGCCTAGCTAGGCCTAGCCCTAGGCTAGGTCTACTGTGCGTGTAGGCTAGAAGAGAGGCCTTCGAAGGCTAGGTGTAGCTTTTATCTGCATTGGCCTAGTTAAAGGCTGGGGAAAGTGAGTTGAGAGAACCTAGCACTACCATACCAGTAGCAAAATACCTAGGCCAGCACATGGCTAGGCTTGTCACATAGTAGGGCAGCTGTTCCTCTGCCTAAAATTTATTAAATATAATATTAGTTTAAATATGCATATTTTCATTAATTTTGGTAACATTTATATGTGAATCATTTTGTAGCCTATGGTACCCTATCTAGGCCAAGTCCTAGTCTGTATGAAATAACAATACATTTTCTACTACAGTATAAGCCATTTACCTGAACCAGCAAGCAGTATGGATATAAAAAAGAGGTCAGTCTGAGTGAGGCAATAAATGCTTTGATGAAAACCAAATTGCCACCTTGTTGGAATGTTGACCATGTTCTACAAATTATGATATTTATTTTCCAGTGATTTACATACTTTAAATAATATGAACATTTAACATTTTCCAGACAGCTACTTAAATTTCTTTATTTAAATTTTTAAATATTGAATTATTATTTTATTTGATAGCTAAAAAATTTTAAAATGTTAATCATTTAGTCATTACCTACAGTAAATGCACACAGTTCAATAATACAGTAGTTGAAAGTATAAGATGGATAAGCTAAGTTCGTTTTAAAATCTATTAAAATGAAAATAAAATAAAAAACATACCGGTAAAATAAAGGTGTGACTGCAAAATATTGAAAAGTCTACAGTAATCCCGGAAATGGGAAAACATGCACTAATGAAATGATGATGATGATGGCATAATAAATTATTATCGTATTTATCATTCGAACTCAACTATCAGCAATAAAGCATTATGTTTTATAGCTGTTGATCCTAAAACATAATGCAGTTTATTGTCGATAGTTGAGTTTGAATGAATTCTCAAACTCAACTATCGACAATAAACTGCATTATGTTTTAGGATCAACAGCTATTCCTGTACCTAATGAAGTAGAGCAGATTTTTGATAAATTTTGTAAACTTTATACTAAGAGAACTTGGAAAAAGAGATCAGAAATTAAACATGTTCAATCCTTACATAAATTAAGATCTGTATTGCTGAACATTGTGTAATTGTTTTTTATTTAATATGTAGTTTTTTATTATGTATTTTAATTTTTAATTGATATTTGGTAGGAGACAAGAGAAACTCTTTGAACTTTCCTTGGTTTCCAAGGGCTATCTGCTCTTTCATTTCAGTTATTTTTTATTGTATTTAGTTAAGAGTTCATGTGTGTGTATACAGTATGTATATTTTTTATATGCATATTTTACCTTTTTAAGTATTTGTTTAGTTAAGTTTGTACCTTTTTATTTACGAACGCACCGATTGACATTGAGTGCCACCGATCTAAAGGTGTAAGTTCAAATAAATGAATAAATAAATTTAGGGAGTTTCTTATTGTGGATATTGTTTGAAGCATGTTTGAAGTAACAGTGTATGTGGGTGTGGTATTAAAAGGTTGCCTATGCCTAGTCTCGAGTTGTCTTGACACTTGCCATTACTGTAAGTAGGTCTTTAAGTTTGCAAGCTTTGTATTGTATTGAAATGTAAATTAGTAGTTTGTCAAGGACAAGAGATTGGATCATATGTAGTGTGAAGTAAGTGATATGAATAAAACCCTTTAATGATGATCTGTGCTGAGCTGAACATTTGTGGGAAATACAATTATTATACATTGTGAATTATTTCCTTTTTTAATATTTAAGTGAGTTTAGCTTCAGAAATGGGATACTATTATTAGAGCAACTTTAATCAGTTAAAAAATTATTTTAAATTGGTGAAATTTTCCTTCATATTTAGCGTTAAAAATTATGTATGTCCTTTAATTCGCTAAGCAGGATATTAAAAGCATCTTAGATCATTCATAACTTGTATGCAATTGAGATCTTTCTACATTATAACAGTGTCAGAATTGAAATGGATGACTACTGTATAGCGTGCTATTAAATGCAGATCATTGACTACTGTATAAGTAGATCTTCATGTGTACCAGCATTTTGTACAGTTAGTATCAATAGTTAGTTTCCTTTGTTTTTTTTTTACTATTTTGGTAGTCAGCTCTTTAAACACCTGTTTCCATTTAATAATTTTGTTTGCATTTAAAGTTGTTAGCTATTGCCGTTGATTAATAATATTTTGCCAGAGCTTTCATGGCAATTGATTGAAAACATTTGGTACCATTTGTGATTTCAGTTGACAGGTGGGTGAGGTGGCTTGTGATAGAACACTGTAGCTTGTGTACAGTGCAGTTTGTTCATATATATCAGGTGTTTGTCATTATTATTAATTATCCAATTAAAAGTATGCACTCTGAATTTGTTGAAAAAACCTAAAATATTATCGACAGGACTCCTGCATACCATTGTACATTACATTGATTGGTGTCAAGAAGTAACCCTCATCAGTAGAGACATTCTTAATTCCTTTTGTTAAGTTTGCACAATCTAAACAGTACTAAATTATAGTTACGTTTCATTCTTTTGTAATAAGTAAGCAAATTACTATTTGTTGTATAATTTAACTGTTGTTTTCTTAATATTTTCCAGGTGTAAAATAATCGAACGTAGTTATATTTTGCAAAATATAAAGATGTTTGCAAAACTTAAGAAGAAAATTGCTTTGGAGGAGGGGATTGAAGGCGGCGACCTAAAGAAAGCCTATGGACCAGGGTCAGGGGGAGCATTCCGTGATGACCAATCCAGTAGGAACGGAACATCTGAACGAGTAATATCTCCATCAGGAAGTGTCTCCAGTTTAAAGGATGCCGGTTCCTTGAAGTCGGATAGTAAAGAGGTATAGTTTTTCTCTTTTTTTGTCATAATTATTTTTCAACAGTTCTTCTATTTGTTTATCCTCCATACAGTGCATGAAATCTTTGATATTACAACTTAATGACAGCTACTAAACTGTAACCTAGGGTGGGGGAAATGTTTGGACTATCCCCTCAAGGCTCAAGCCTACTTTACGGTGTCATGAACTGTTGCAAGTGCATGGCCTACTCACACCTTTATATTTTCAGTCCATTGCCTCTTGGATTATTGTAATTATATATTTATTTCTTATTTTTTTATAACTTTAATAATAACAACCTGCAAAAATAATCATAGTTGGCCAACTGCTAACATACATAACAACAACAATAATAATATTAATAACAGTATTTAATGCAGTACTAATATTTTTCATTTTTAGCACATCACATTATTTAATTTTCAGTGCAAATTTAGCATTGATCCAGTTAAAGGTAACCTCATTGAAATTAACAAAGAAATTCAATTAAAATTATCATACATCAGGTGAACTTTGTTTTAAAGCTGTTGGATTTGATTTCATTTACTTCCACTGCGTTAACCAAGTTTATTGAGCAGATGTAACATAACCAGGTGTGGTGATAAGCTAATCAATGAAGTGCGTAGACCATAATATGTAGATTATTGATTTTGCCAGATGCGGGATATAGTAAAACACAACATGGGCTACTGTGATTGGGTTGGACCATCAAAGGGCTTTTAACATCAAGTGATAGTGATTGCTATTGTTTTGTTATTTTACCATCACTCCTTTAGAATATTAGAGAAAAATAATATGTGTGTATTCATTTGAAAGCTAATTTTATGATGTCATAAATAAATTAATTAATATTTCAAAATAAATTATGCTGTTAATACAGTAGTTATATTATGATTGATTTGATTTTATTCGGCTTTATAAAAATCATCAAAAATTTACAATATGATAATTATTTTCATAAATTATAATAATAATAATAATAATAAACATTTATATAGCGCCAATTCAAAAATTTATCAAAGGCGCAGAAATTTATCAAAGGCGCAGAGTCAGCACTAAATAAAATAAAACCAGTGTCAGCACTAAATAAAATATAACATCCATTGTTAAGTTTGCAATAAAATCCAGAGTCCATAAAAATTAAAACATTAAGAATGGTCCTTTAACACTAAACCAATTACTAAAAAAAAAACAAAATGGATCTTCACTGTTGGGAATTATAACTTGAAATATTTGTAAAGGTGATTTTTAGGCAGGAATCTGGTTCCAAGCAGTACAAATGTAGTGCAGTAGCAATTGGTTACTGTTCAGTTGACATTTATATGCAAAATAATGTGTCTCGCATGTTTGCTTCCTTACAATTACAATAATTCCCCACAGAGGTATGTTTCTGCAACTTATTAGAGCCTACTGTAAGTAATGCTTACTATTAAATTTACTGTAGCCTTAGTCTGACAATGCACAGTCTTAAAAGCATGGTAATTGCTTGGGAATAACTTGATTATGATGGCGATATTGGAAGACCAGAATGGTGTATATTTATTATTATATTTTATTATTAAATTTCACAACCAACAGTAAGTATGTATACATTGTCAATTACAGGAGGACATGCTTCTATTAAATTGAAGTCTCACTAGGAGACTTAGAATTTTAGTCATGAGAAAACAAAAATCCTTGTATCACTGGATTTCAAAACAGGACCATGGGATTGGAAGGCAAGCATCTTTTGATGAGGGTGGGTCATGCAAATTTCAATGGTTAAACATTAAAACAAGAACAAAAGGATACTGGTAATGATTAAAAGAAAGGATTCTAAAAAAAAAAAGTTTAAAAGAGTCAAATTTTTAATAAATTTGCACCATCTGATGGATTGTATTTAAATGGATGCATTGGTATTGAGTTCAAGCAAGTCTAATACTGATTGATGATCATCTATTTTATCATGCTAGAATAGTCATTACAATAATGATACAAGCTTGTATCATTATAATGGTACAAGCTTATACTAGTAATTCTCCATGAAATGTTAATTCCCAAAGTACCAATTTAGGTAAAGAAAGGATTTTTATTATTTAAAAAAAAATACATTTTTATATAAAATCTATAAAAATGAATGGTTAAAGTGATGACAAACTATTGATAATTTATCATTTATTGATCATGCTAGATAATTATTACAATAATGATACAAGCTTGTATCATTATACAGTAATGGTAGAAGCTTATACTAGTATTTCTCCATGAAATGTTAATTCCAAAAGGATCATTTTAGGTAAACAAAGGATTATTATTCTTTTTTTTTATATATTTATAGGAAATCTACACAGAAGAATGGTTAGGGTGATGACAAACAGTTGATAAAATTCAACATAGATAAAGATAGAATAAGAAAATAATTACAAAATACATTGATGAAAATATTATAGTAAAACATACTCTATAAGTAACATTAATACTGTACAATAAAAAAGGATACCTAGAAAACTAATATTTTTTGCAGGTAGATTAAACTTTCATTCGCCAATGAAATTCTAGTAATAAATATTTTAAAATAATTTGAGGTTAAAACATACACTGGGAATAGAATGCATACTGTACTGTCAAGAAAAAGAAAACTATGTGATTTTTAAACCATCGAAGCTGTTTTACATAATATCTCAACATCGTAATACTGCTAAACATTGAGATTAAAGAAATCATTCTAAAAACATGAACAGACTACAGACAGTCTATTATCAAGGCAGAAATATTAAAATGTCAAGTGTTCAGAGGATCAAATGACAGCATATGGTGAGCTACAGTAAATGCAATTCCTCAATCATACTGTAGCCTAGTTATTGTACATTAGTGTAGCAAATCTATCATTAGGTTTAATACTACTATAAACAAAAAAATACTATTAACATTACAGTATGTGGAAATACTGAGTGTAAACAGAAAGTACCTTGAAAAAATAGTGTCTATGAACATGTGATAATAATAATGTAAACAAAAACTACCTTGAAAAAATCTATTAACATTATGTGAAAATGTATAATTAGTAACAATTTGATACTTATCATTATGTGGAATGGTTTTAGGCTAATTAAAACTAGTTTCTACAATGCAGATGGATAACAAACAGATATTGGTTCAACATAAATATGAAGGTATTATTGAATAATTTAAAACAAGTTTACTGCCATGACAAATCAATAAATTCAAAAAACAAATAGATTGCTTAAGTAGTTAATAATTACTTAATAGGTTATTAGCTTTTACCTGAATGTTAGAATTCAGCAAAAGATGGCTTGCCCGTTACTGTACAGAGGTTGATAAGCAATACCATCTGTAGTGTTTCCATGGACCATTCATTTTCTGCCAGCAAACTTAAGGATTTTTGTTAAGTACAACATTTTTATTCATTGCAAAATGATTTTATTTTTCAATTCATTACCTAACAAATGTTGACAGCTTATGTGATTCTTCTAAAATTACATTTTGTTAATGTTTTTATTTTACCAGTATTTATTTTTTAGCAGGCAGCATTGTACTGTATATCTTAGACATTTTGATGATCAATAAAATATATTGCCTGTACAGATTTACACAATTGTGTGCATTATTTTAATAGTCAAAACAATACATTATTTTAAAAAGATAATCTTACATTTTACATGAATTTGTGAATTTTTATAGGGCTATTTTTTATTTGTATTTCTGTCATCTTAGGGAGGCAACACCATGAGTAAAGCTGAAATGCTTGCACTTCTGAATAAACGATCAGAGCAAGTTCGTAAATTAGAGGCTAAATTAGATGAGTACCATGTGATGGTAAAAGATACACTGAAAATGAAGGAGAGATTGGAGCTAGCCCTTGAAAAACAACAGGATGGTAAGTTTGCGTGTTATTATAATACTGCACTACAATAGTATATTCTGGTATATTTTATTTAATCTTCATGGCATGATAAAATGAATTAAGATGATTCATTACAAAATTTTTAAAAAATATGCATATAATTACAATGATTAAAATTTTAAAATATAAATCAAAATCAGTTGCACAAACTATCACACTGAAATATTTCATCCTCAAATAATTCATGATAATACATTAAAACATAAAAAAGCAGTTTATTTTATGGTGTAATTTAACAAACTGGACAGAATAATGCACTGTACTATATTATAAATTCACAATTCATAACTACGGTACTAAAAAAGAAATATTAAAGTTTAGTGATTAATTGAAAACAAGTATGAGCATGCAGTATTAACTGTTTGGGCCACCGTTATAGATGACTTTATTTTCTGAAAATTCCACTTTAATGTCACAATACTCTAAGCATGCTCTTCCATTACTGTCACGAAATAATTAAAATCATGTTTGCAAGCTGAAATATTTTGATAAATTACATAATTGTAACCAGAATTGGGAATTCATATAACCATCACAAGGGACTTTAGATAAAAAATGTGAAAAATATATTACATATGGAATATATTCATAGCTGAGTCTCAAACCAAAATTGAAAGTAGTAATTTTGCCTTTTTCGTGGGTTTATTTTCATTACTCTATGATATCTCTATCTTGTATATTATGTTAGCAGAAGAACTAGTGTTGTTGTAACTCTAAAAATTACAGCATATTCTTCCTTATGTTGCAAATACGTAGTGAAATTGTATTGTATGTTAATGTCTCTAAAAATAGTATCCATGAAACGGCTTCAGGAAGCTAATGAGGAATTTCAATTAAAACGTGCGAAGATGGTTGAAAAATTAGAGGGCTTTGTACAAAGGGAGGAAGAACTACAAGAGAAGATAGAAGTTTTGAATACGGTAAGTAATGAAGTTGAGAAGTAGGTTTAATCAAAGGTAAAAATTATGATATTTAAAAATACTTGTTTTGATCATAACCATAGATTGTCGTTATAAAACAAATGTGGATTATAATGTACTTAAGCTGTCAGCAGTAATAATACTTTTAGTATTTCAAAAATCTAAAAATAGGTATGTGTTATGTGAGATTTAGACATAGCTTTTCCTCACAAAATAGATGTGAATTATATTGTACTTGAGCTATGGGCAGTAATAATACTTTAAGTATTTCTGAAAGCTAAAAATTTGTGTATTATGTGAGATTTAGACATACAGTAGTTTCTCATCACAAAATAAATGTGAATTTTAGAATGCATGGGCATGAACAGTAATTATGCTTTGAGCATTCTCATTGGTCAGTGTACTGTTAAGTGTTAATCTGCTATTACCACGCTGGACAGGTATATACTATCCAATAGGATGTTAATTTCTCACCTGGTATCAATTATGACTCTTGAACTAGAAGGGACTTAAGTATGTAGTGATGATATTTTAAAAATATGAATTATAATGTAATTGGTCAAAGAGCACTCGTACGTCCAACATATAGTATTTTGATTGGTCAATTTATTTGTAGTCTACTATGTGTATGTAATCTGCATTTACCTTGCAATAAATTTATAACATGCAAACAATTTCAAGATTTTTCTCATGACTAATAATGACTTCATTACTTGAGCAGCTATTCCTTCAAGCTGCTTTACCTGTGAAATAACATTATAATGCAACATCTTTGAGAATAGAAGCTCTTACTGATACTTTATTCTATATTTTGTCCCTTAAAAATTTTGCTTGGTTATGTGCAATGCCTTCGTGGTTATGCACTCTTTTCCAGCTCTGGTTAGGTATGAAAGAATGAAAGAATTAGAACATAAATGTAAAAAAAAATATTGACAAGTTATCTTTCATGTATTTCGCTTGTGTTCTTGGACAAGGGCATTTTACCTATGTTTGTCTCTCTCCACCCAGGAGTATGAATGGGTATCCGGGGGTTCACTACTGGGGAGGAAAAAGGCAGCGTGGAAAGGAACTGGCCACCCTACCACACAATAACGAGGCTTAGTACGATGAGCTAACAGCTCATTCCCCTACGTTCATTAATGAATACGGGACTACCTTTAACTTACCTTATCTTTCATGTACAGGAAAAAAAGAGTTTGCAAGAACGTTTGCAGAAATTAGAGATGAGTCATTTCATTAAACTTGAGGAGAATGATGAGTTGCATGGATTTCAAGTGCAAGAGATGGCAAAGATAAAACACATGGTAAGATTTTCGAGAAAAAAGTAAAAAAACACAAAATTAACATTGACTGCTTTTCTTATTTCAAGCTATAGAAATATAGTCATATTAATTTAAGTTTATAAGCAGGTGTTTATGCCAAACATACAAAAAGGGCTAAGGGTATCAGATTATGAAGATTTGAAAACAAATTTTCTTTTTGATATCATGATTACGTATTTAGGTTATCTGGAATGAATTTCAGGTGTGTCAGCTGCATCCACAGTCTCCATTTATATGATTTCATCATCATCCATTTCATTATTACCATTACCTCCACCCTGCTATTAGAACTTAAACTACTCCATTATTATGAATGAAACTGGTGTATACTGTAACAGTAATGGAAACAAAACAAGTCTTTATCTTTTACTTCTTAACAGTTTTTAAATAGTCAAGAAGAACTAAACAAATGCAAATCGGAATTAGAAAGTGTGAGGGAGCTGTTGAGAGATAGAAGTCAGCAACTCGAAGACAAAGTATCAGAATTAGAATCTGCTAAAGCAAACAAAGATATGCTTCAGAAAGAAAGGTAAGTGTAAAAAGATAACAAAGAAATGACAATAGATTTCAAAGACAATGGTAGTGTAGCTTGTTAAGATATCTGCATTTTAACTTAAAATTGGTAAATAATTCATAGATACAGAACATACTGAATTAGAATATACTTTTTATAATAATTGTTCTGATTACAAATTTGAGAAGTGCAACTTGTATGCATTTCATGTGTAAAAATCTAGCAAAATAGTTGAGTTTAGACCAAAATAAAGTAATTACAGATTACGATGAATGAATTATTTAGATGCAACACGTATTTTAAACCTGTAGTCAGTTTATAGGACTGTGAACTTACTATTTGTCCATGAAATTGATCAAAATGATGCCAACATTTAAACAGCTGTTGTTAGTGTGCTTCTGTCTCGCTACCACCTGTATCCCACATCACCTCATTAGCTATTCCGTTCCCATTCCATAGGGAGACGTTCATGAGTCAGAAGATGGAGGGAGAAGGAAAGGTACTGCAATTGACCCAGCAGAACAAGGCTCTGGAAGAAAATGTGGTCAGTTTAGAGAAGGAATTAAAAGAGGTAAGCAGTGTACTGAGATTAACAACATTATTCATTTGTGTATAAAACTACAGACAATTTAGAGAGCTAGCTTTTTGATGGCAATTATAATCGTGATCGTGATTTCCTTTTGCTGTTTACAGCTCCACCGCAGACAGATGGTAATAGTTTTATATTTCCATATCACCTTCCACAAGAGAATTTTTCTTAAATCTTTAAAAAATATAAATAAATATATAGATAGGTTAACAATATGGCACAGATCATAGTTAGGAAACTGCTGTTCAGTGATATCATATTTTTTCAGTTATGTGAAGTGGCTCTTTAAAAAATAACCTATATTTTGAGTCCACATTTATGCTTTCATGCCTGCTGAAATGAAACATACGCTTTCCCATTCTGTAATCCACTTGTTCACTAACACATTCTTAAATAGTGTTGTCGGTTTTCTGAGTACTTAGCTGAATAAACCAACTGTTGTCATTGTTTGACAAGGAAAATAATTATGATGGAACCATCCATCCCAGTGTACCTGATATCTATGTTAAACTACCACTTTACATGCTTTAATTAACAACTTAACCATGAAATTTAGCCCTGTGGTTACCATTGTACTAACCAAAATGTTTGGCAATTAATTTGACAATTAACTAATCAATGCTGATTTTTCCATGTCACAGTTTGTTTTTTTTTACCTAATTTTATCAGTGTTACTGACATATATCAGTACTCTACTTTTTCAATACTTTACGTTTGCTTTTTGTATTTTTTTTGTAACCCTGTATATTAATAATTTGCTTCTTTTTTGTTTTTGTTTGTAGAAAAATAATAAGTTATGTAGTTTAGAATCTAATTTGAATGCTCTACAAGACAGCTATGATGCAATTAAACATCAAACAAGTTTGCATTCAAAACAGGTAAAATAACTCTGCTTTTTGTATTTTAAATTAACATTCTTATAATCAATTATAATAATTAGTAGTAAACAGTTAATTTTTTACCTGTTCCTATTCAGTTTTCTCTAATATGGGTAATATAATTACGAATATTAGTGTTATACTTTGTGTGTTGAGCTAAAAGTGTTTTGCATTCAATGTATTTATGACGTACTCTGTGACTAAAGTGAACATTATATCAAGACGTTAAACTGAATAATGTGAGATAATGTCTATGTAAATATTGAAAGGTCCCTTGTGACTAGTCAAATTGAGACTAATGTTTAATTTTAGCTTAAATCTTCTTATTGCAATGGATTCATTGAACAACTGTAATGTTGAAAGAAAACTTTAGTAATGGAAGGGTTTCACCATTCATCGTTTTTACCAGTGATTTTCAAAAGGTGATGACCATTTGATTAAAATAATAACCACAACGTTGTGTTGATGGATGCTACTGTTGGTACTATTGCGGGGATGTTTATTTACCTAATCTTTTGAAAATTTGAATATTTTGCTTAAATGTAGCTGCTTAATTTTTTAGCTTTATATTATATCCTTTTTATCTATTTAAAACAATTTATATTTACAGAGCATTTATAATTATTATTATTATTTATTGTATGGTTATTCTTATCATTATTTTTATTATGAACAGCAACATCATATCCTCATCATCGTTATCATCATAACCATCATCATCCTCATCACCACCATCACTATCATCACGACGATTGTCATCATCATCGTCGTTGTCGTTGTAATGAATTTTATTATTATTTGTATTATATTTTGCATTTTCTTTTTTTTTTCTTGTTATTGTCATAATTGCTGTCATTGTTGCTGCTACAGCTCTTATGGTTATTTTTTGTTGTTTTTCTTTTATGTAATTCTATGTTTGGAGCTGCCATATGTTTGTATAGGAATTTTGCTCCACCTTGGCTTTGCCCTCCTCTAGCTTGTTTATTGCTGTTCTGCTCTAAAGGAAATAAATATATTAATGATATTATTTTATCATTATATTCTGCTATCATTTGCTTTGATAGTTGGTAGGATTTGCATCAGTTATAGATTATTAAACCTTAATGCTTGGTTTTACTTAAAACATGACAAGATTACTTCCTACAGTAGTGTAATAGCTATAGTTAGCCCAGATTAATTAGATTATCTCCTTTCTACAGTGGTTTTATGTTTGCATACCATGCATGACAATATTTGTATTGAAGTAGAAATTCGTTGCATATTGTGTAGACATTTTCTTTACTATATGCTAATCTTTTGGAAATTATAGAATAGTATATAAATGCTGTAGCATTATTCTGCAAGTAAAGAGTTCCCATATATGAGTCTAGTTTGTAATATAAGTTTGGTGTTAAATATGTTGGTTTACTTTAGTAGTGTAGTCTTAGGCTATTTTAGCTATGTTGTTCTCTTATTTGTTATTTTATGTCTTCCTTTCCCACAATCCATTGCTGCTGGAAACAGTCACATGGTACACAGGTAAAGCTACTGTTTTTTCACCGTATGCAGTGATGGATCCCGTTGGCATGTGCATCTCGTTTTTGCTGTTGAACTATGAATATTTATTTCAAGACTCATCCTGTCCGTATATGTCCCATCCATATATGTCCCACCCGTGTATGCCCTGCTCTTGTATGTAATACCCATGTCCATATACGCAGTCCATGTATACCCTGCCCATGTATACCCACATATGCCCCAACTATATATGCCAATCCATATATGCCCTACCTATTTTTGATCCAAAGTTTGTATGTGTTGTACTGTAGTTTGCACAACACATTCACTATCAGTATTTTATTCATTCAATATGTTGATTGTTAATAATACTAACAGCAAAAGAGCAAGATTACAATATCATTGATGGGAATTCCTTCAGAGTTTAAAATAGTTGGGATTACAAGTTTACAGACAAGTGCAGCACTCTAACTGGTACATCTTCCTTTTCCCTACTAAATTGTTCAACTCCCATCTCCTCATGCAAGAATATTCCTTTTTCGTGGCTAGAATAAATGTAAGATTATCTGGGATTTTTAACTGAGAATTTACAGTCTAGGGAAAACAGCTGTGATACTTTATAGTTTATTTATTAATTTTATATATTATACTTAGTGAGAAAATATGATTGGATGTATATACATTAATGTTGAATTGAATCTGAATATAAATATTGTTTTTAGACAAAGAATGTATTAGAAGAAAAGGAAATAACAATTGAACAGTTACAAGAGAAGGTTTCAGTGTTAGAACAACGGTTACGTGATAACAGTCTATCAGAAGATGATCAATACAAGGCTATGGAGAAAGAAGTAAGTTGATAATTTATCTTCTTAAAATGTGTTTTTTTGTTATATTTACAACAAACATATTATCAATAATTAAAAAATGTTTTATTTGTTGTATCATATCCTTATGCTGTATCATTGTGTTATTTCTTTTGGTGATTTCAAATTTTTATTTATATTTTAGAGAGATCTCCTGGATGAGAAACTAGAGGAAGCCAGGAAGAATCTAATAGACAACAGAAACACTGCAAATGAAAAGATTTGCCTGCTAGAAAACCAGGTAAGATATCATCACTGTGTATAGTTCGGCACACACTGTATTGTCATTGGCAACCGACAAGATTCCATGAGATCACGTCAAGTTCAGACTACAACTAAAGTCAGTGGACTGGCAATACATTGATAAAGCACTCACAGGCAGCACGTACAAATTCATCATCCAACAGTCGGCCGATCCAGTGTGCACCAGGCTGGTCATAACAATAAGCAGGAAGGGCTGTAAACTGTAGTCCCTTTGTTTTACAATTGCTTAATATTTTATGTCTTTTTATTGATTTTATGATTGGAGAACAAATGATAAGAATTATTAATATTAGAGAAAACATATAATATGCATATGAACATAGTGTACATTTACATGATGCAGATTTCCAATTTGAACATGAAGATGGCTGAAGACACGGAAGAACTTCGCAACAAATGTGGAGACTTGGAGCAGGTAAAGATCAGCTATACATCCAAAATGAACGACTTACAAGTGAGATTAGAGGCCGCTGAATTAAACACTACCAAATTGCACCAGACAATCGCAGAGAAAGATACTGAATTGTCATCTAAGGTATGCAATCCTTAAATTTGCATTTCCAGTTGGTAAAGTCAAAAGGTTGATGCTAACATTCATCATTCTGTGTCTGTTGTAAATAAAAGTATCCTGAGTCACCTTTCCGATGATTGGCTGTGATGGAATATTTAGTTGGTTTTAAAAAGTGTATCCCTATTCATAGTCTGTTTCTGGAATACTTATCTAGATGTAACTGATATATGCCATGCCAGTTTCCTTCCTGGAAAATGAGATCTGTTACATATACTAATTCTTTCTTTGCACCTGGGTTGGATGATGCCACTTAAGGTAAATTCCAAAAAGAAAACTGGCATAGATTTAACCGGGTAAGTATCTCGCACATACACCAAAATCACTCCTGATTTTTGTGGAATTTTTAGATAAAACCCCATTAATAAATCCTACTGAATTGTTATCCTGATCTTTCTATACTTTGGTGAGATGCGGTTTCTCTCTTCAGAAATTACACTGTTAATAATACTCCTACTGTATTAGGTATTTATTTTGTGGAATATTTGTTTACAACAGAAGTCTGAAATGGAATCACAGCTGCTGGCATATCAACTTCAGATTGCTGAGTTGAAGAAACAATCACTTGAATCTAGGAAGGTGCTGCAAGAAAAAGCTGCAAGTCTCGAGGCTCAAATAAAAACCCTGGATACTGCCAGGGACCTGGATAAGAATGCCTCCAATCATAGAATTGTAAGCAATAGTTAATCAGATTAATTATTTATCACTTCTCATTATTCTTTGATTCTAATTTCTTCGAATAGAGAGAGAGAAAAAAAATCGTAACTCGATGATCAAAGAATCTGAACCACATGTTTTGCATGATTTTTTAGATAAGCTGAAGATAAGAGCCTTCAACAATGAAATTTAGTCCTAAATTGGAAGAATAAATGTATTATGTTTTCCAAAAACCGAAAGGTCCACTGATTAATCTCAGATAAGAAAGTATAATACATACTCCAAGTATTGAAATAAAACACGATGGCGTGTATTTCAATACTTGGAGTATGTATTATACTTTCAAATGTATTATGTGTACTAATTAAATTATTTAGTATAGTTGCGGGATATTATGTGTGGTGGGGGTGTAGTAGGCAGGGCTAAGTGATGAGGGTGATTGGAGCTAACACCCTGATTAATCCTATGCCACTTACATCCTACAGTCCATGTTAGAAACAGTACAAGGTGAATTTTTAGAAAAAGAAATTGAACATGAGAAGCAAATTTCTGAGATGGAAGACAAACAAGAAGCCTTGAGGGTGAGTTTTTCTTTATATATTTTTCATTACCATTTTATCTTGGGAGCCCATGGCTGTATAATAAGTTGCACTACTTTGCATTATGCCATAATTTGTATTTAATTCATGATAAGCCTTTATAAATTAATGATATTCCTCTCATTAAAATTTTTATTTTAGCATTTGAGTTTTGGCAAACGGTACTACCAACATTAGGTATTGTAAAATATTGGCTAATAAGCATCTCGTTTATGTATGTTTGCTTTATTATGCATTATTGAATATAATAGTCAGATGTTTTTTGTTCTTTTGAAATTGCAATAAATATTTGTTTGTAAGAATGCTGATAAGATCAACTGCCCTACATTATGCTTCATTAAAAAACATACTGTCTTCTTAGATTGTGATTGGTGAAAAGGATAGAGAATGTACTGAAATAGCAAAGGAGCTAGATGCGGTCCGCAAACTTGTAGAAGCACTGCAGACTAAGGTACATAATTATTAAGAATTTAGTTGGGCTACTTTGTAAGAGAAACTTGTCTGGCAAACATTTGGTAGTGCTCTATTATTTTCTTCGATTGTGAAAGGCATTAAATCATTACCAAATAGATTTATTTATTTATCACCCATTTTTAAGTAAGTCTACTGATAATTATTGATTGTTTCATTGTTGAATCTTGACCACTCATGTATTGAAAGAGTTTTTTCAGAATAAAGAAAGATTTGATTTGAACAGTTTTCTTTGGATGTATTCTTCTATTCAATCTAGGTAAAAGAAACTGAAGAACATTTAAACAACAGAGAGGAAGAGAAAAAACAATTAGAAAAAGACAAAAAAGAACAGGACGAAATGATAGCGTTACAAGAACAAGGTAAACAGAGTTTGGGTTTATAATTTAAGGGTTGCGAGGTCAATAAAACTAGTCATATTGCTTGCAATGCCAACTTTCTCTCTGTTTGTCTCTTGTCTCACAAGGGGATACATGAGGACCGTGTAAGATATGAATATGTAGGATGGCAGGACTCCATGCATTGCAAGATGTGCTCCCCAGGAGAAGGAGTATGATGGCATGTGAATGCCGATGCCTACATTTTCATCCTTTTGGCAGTTAATGTAACATTTTCCATTAGAAATAAGGGAATGCATGGGGACCGTGTGAGATGTGAATGAGTTTGATGGAATGACTCTACTCATGTACATGCATTACAAGATATACTCCCCAGAGAGGGAAGTATGATGACATACCTACATTGCCTACATGCCTACATTTTCATCCTTTGTACATTTTAATCTAACATTTTCTATTATAAATTTATATGTGGTTTAGCATATGTAAATGAGCATTTGACATTTTTTCCCTGCAGAGAAAAAGGCTTTAGATAACAGTAAGAAAGAGCTTTGCCAGAAAATTGACTTACAGACTAAACAAATGAGGGCAGCAGAGACAGAATCTCAGAAGATATTTCAAGAAAAAATAGATGAAGTGCAGACATTGAAACAAGAAATTAGCACAAAGGACAAACAAATAAATCAACTTAATAGCAAGGTAAACAAAGTAGTTTTGGATACTTTGGTATAATAAATGTTTAGTGCTGGTAAATGGGAAGGTTTAGGTAGTGGTTTATTTTACTTTTTTAAATCATGGTTATTATTAATGTCTTAATTATTAATATGAATTAACATTGTTTAAAGATTTGCATGGCAGATAAATAGTATGAATTTTAGTACTCCATGGGAATAGTTCTGAAAAGAATATCAACGTTTCAAATCGATTGCTCTATATGTCTTCAATATGCATTAAGCAATATATCTCTAACAGTATTGTTATATTGGCTGTCTTGTTGTTAAGTTTGGTTTTATTTTATTTTCAAATCAACTAACAAATTTAAATACCTTTAATTATATAACACTGTAAAAACAATTTTTACATATTACACAGATTATCAAACACCACAACCCAATATATTGTAGTGAATCATGTTTATAACAGTATATATAAAATAACAGTAATGTATCTGTTTTTTCCCTTTGGCTCAAGGTAAATGATTTAGAACACACAATAGAAACATCTGCTCCTGAACTGTCCCCTGAAGACATCCAAAAATTAAGAGAGGAGACAGAAAAGAAGCAAGAAACAATTCAGGGTATGGAAGAGCAATTAATTGAGAAGAATAAAACCATTAAAATGCAGCAGCAGAGGCTAGGCGACCTGAAGAAAACCCTGCAGAGGGAACTGGTGAGCTTAAGCTTCTTTTCAATCATAAAAAAATGATATTAATGGTGATACTGATGATGATATAAGTGTCAATTATTATAATTATGATGTGTAATCATCAAGTTGTGGCCTTACATGGCTCTTGGCATGAATAGGATAGGTGAGGTGAGGTGAGGTAATCATCAAGTTAACAGCAAGTCATAATTGTATTGTTATTCTTTTTTAGAAAATGCAGACTGGTGGAGGTTACAACTCATCAGAGGAGGATCACCGCCGACCTCGGGATAATCATCTCCTTGATGCCACCCACATGCCACGCGTAGCTTCATCTCCTGCCGCTATGAACAGCATTAGTAATTCCCGACACGATGTCCGGGAGATAAACTTCCAATATCTGAAGCATGTTGTGTATAAATTCATATGCAGTACGGAGATGGAGGTAAGGATCAAGTTGGTATATTATGGTGCTGAATTTTAAAAGAAAATTCAGACAATTTTTAAGCTGGCTCTAGAGCTAGTATTTTCAGATCCTTTTATTGAAATAAATCAATGAATCTTCACAATTTTGTTTTGTCAAACTATTATATTTTTAATGCCTTTTGAAATTTTAGGCCCTGCAATTGTTAAAGGCTGTGTCAACAGTGCTAGAGCTAACAAAAACAGAAGAGGAAGGAATTAAGCAGATAATAGAATGGAAGGTAACTGTTTTAATTAATTCATTATTAGATTGTTGTGTAATATTTTTTTAATTTGTATAATTGTTGTCCATTTTATTTATTTATTTATTTTTATTTTTTTGGTTATTGGTCTATTTACTTACGTTGTATATATTTTTTTCTCCTCAGCAATCTTGGTTTGGGGCAAAACCAGTTTCCAAGAAAGGATTCATCTCAGGCAGGTGATCCAACTGAAAGGTGAATTAATTTCCAGGTGCTTCTCCAGGTGTCATGTGATCCAGTGGACAGGTGGCCCAATGGCTAAGGGATCCAATCACCTAGTGATAAAAAATGCCATGGGATCTAATGGTCAGATGTTCCAATGGCCAAATGATTCAATAAATATGTATTCAAATGACAATGGTCAGCTGAGTCAATGGACACATGATGGAATTGAAATGGCCAGAAGGTCAAATAGGTCATGTAATGTGATAATTTGGATGTATGATGGTCAGATGATCTAATAGACATAAAAATAGAAATACTTTTTTTATCTCATCAGTAAAAATAACATCAGAATAGTCCAGTGATCAGGTGGTCCAAATGGTCTTGTGATATGATCTAATAGACAGATGGTCTAATTGTTAGGTCAGTGATCATACGACTTGATGGTCAAATGTCAGATGATATATATATTCCAATAGCCAGGTATTAAAGTAACCAGCTGCGGATCCAGGAATTTGAAATACAGGGGGGCTTGATGAGGGTATTTTTCAGATGGAGAGTCCGACTACCTCAGGCCCGCCGTGGTTGGGGCTGAAGTACAAAAGGTTTATGTCTATGGCACAATTAGATGGCCGAAAATGGCACTATCACTAAGTTGAAAGCAATTTTCTTCCCCCTCACCATTTTTGGCCCGGTCTTGCTGCCCCCCTCCCCCTTGAATTCACCTCTGGTAACACACTTGGCAAACATGTAAAGTTTTTATTAAATTTAAAAACACATACAGGTCATATTCATTATTGAATGTATATTTAATACTAGAATGGGAATTATTTTGGGTTTTTTTACTCAATGTGATCCACTTGTTTGCATCAATAGGTTAAATTCATCTCAAGAAGTACTTACTTGTCTTGCTCATTTTTTAAATACTTCCGTTCCTGAAATTAGTATGTTATATTTATGTACTGTACATATTTAGGGAAATCTTAAAATAAAATTATTGTCTGTAAATATTGTCAAATGATATGAAAGCTATATACTAATAATGTCATGTCACATGTGGCAAATGACAGGTACAGTATTTATCATATGTAACTTGATATTCTTATTAATAATATTCTATGAATATTGACTGCTACATGAAATGGTGTAATTCTGTCCCATACACCAATTGAGAAATTTAATAGAGGGAATTTGAAGAAACAATGGGGAAAAAACACAGTTCTTATTTAAAAGATGGCTACGCCCTAAAGATCTGTGAGTTGTTCTTGCAGAACTTACTGTAGCCTCCTTCTATACAATTTATTTGTTTCAATTACTCTATATTATACTGCATATTTTTATTACTTATATTGTATTATTTTATTGATTTGAATTTCCATATCATATCACTTGTTCAAATTATCAATGTGGCAAGTGAGTAACTGCTAGATTCAGTCAACAAACTCATATCTGTTTCTTTCCTGAGGAATCAACTCCCCCTATTCTACTACATTAGAATCATTGAAACTTAATAAAAAAAATAATTTTAATTATTTATAACATATTCTAAGGGTAAATTAAGATAGTCATAATTGAAATATTCACTTTAATGATTATTTCATTATTATTTATAATCCCTCAAGTTTAGCATTTTTTTATTATTTGTTGTGTGTGTTGGGTGAAAGTGGCGCATTTAGCATCATTAATTTAATTTATTTCAGGCTGTATCTACAGTGATTTTTCGCCATTAACACTCAGGTTAAATATATTTTAAAACATGATAATATGTAAATTCAGTAAAACAACAAAAAGGTAACATGTAGAGAAGGAGGCTTATATGTTTTACCATTGAAAAAAAGTAATTTTAGTATGTTGTAAGAAACATAAGACTATCCTAGTACAGTGTATCATAATAAAATTTTATACTATGAGAACTTTCATGCTTAGATTTTGATGTGTTTTGTGAAATCTCTAGTGTAGTTGCTGGTTCAGTGTAGAGGGAATGTGGAGTAAAGGGGTTTCTTCCCCCTCAACAATGAGAGTTGGGGCCCATTTTCTTGCAATTAGATGGCTAGCACAAGACTTCAAATTTGAAAGGAATGACATCTATATTTTTAAGTACATATCAAATTAATACAGCAATATAATAATGTAAAACATTTTTACATGGGTATAGGTAGGCCTTTCATAATGATTGTTTAAAGTCTCTCTGACTTGCAGTTGGTATGAAAATAATATTAAAATATGGAAACACTTGTAGGTACCCATGAACCACAGGGTGGAAAGAGATATGAACATTGGATAAACTACAGTACCCAATGCAGGGAAGACTTGGACCCATATAGTAACCAGTCCATTAACTAATTGAGCACATGCTTATGTTTTGACACAATTGAGTATTAGAGATTATTAAATATTCATGTAAGAAACAACAGTCTGTCTGAAGGCATTTCATTGATTTATTATAAGATATATACACTTACAAATTAAAAGAAACAAATTAAAAAACTACCACTTAAAATCCTGGAATGCTATTTATAGTCAGTTTTACCTAATGGACTACTGTATTTTTTTGCGTTAAAATTTAGTAGTAGGAAAAAAAACCTTCAAAAATTCAGTAGAATTTATCAATAAATAAAATAAAGTAATCAATCTTTGGGTGTTGTATTTAAATAGCAATAAACATACAACTATAGATACATCCTACTTTATAATTAAATTTTGATGTCTTTACTCTCAAAGATGAGACATAAATTCATTGAATCTCATTCAATCATTGATCTATTTACAAACTTAGGTCAATGATTCTCATTCAATCATTGACCAAAATAGTTTTTAATATAGCTTCATGTTTTTGCAACCTATTGAAATTTTGGATATAATTTAAAACTGTTTATAACCACACTCCAAATTGTATTCCAATTTTTATATGAAAGGAATTTCCTATAAATAGGCCCATTGGCCTAAACTATAGGTATATTTATGTATAGAAGGCTCTTTTTTTTCTTTATTGCTTTTTTACCAAAAAAAATAAAGCAATATTGGTTAATGAGATGAAATATAATGATCAATTAATGACACCGAAAGTATTGTTTAAAGCTAATTGTAGTCAATTTCACAATAGTTAATTTTTGAAGACACTACATGTGGTACTTTAAAAAAAAAGGTTTACACTAAAAGAACAAACTCAGAGAACAAATGTTTGTACTGTAAATTAATTTGATTGTCAAAAATATCAATAATGGCAAATACTGGAGAAAATATAAATAAAGTTGAGCTTACTTAATTACTTAAAATAGTATACTCTCTTAATGATAATACTGTATAAAGAAATGTTTCAAATTAATACATTTTAGATGATACGATGCATTATCCCAGTTTGGCGGCTGCAATTGTGGGAAATGTGCAGTAACTTTTTACATTTTTGTGAAGACTGACTAAATCTAAACCTTGTATTTTGACAATGAGCTACAATTTGAATATAAATAGTTTATATACTTATATACTAACATATATTTCTAAAATAGACAATTTCATAATCCACCATATTTGAGTATTTTGTTATAAATGGCTAGCACCAAATTATCTTTGATTAATTACAGTTTATCTCTAAAAAATTTTATGCTTTTAATTTATATTTCTATTCATAATTTTCCAATTCATTATTAAGATTTGTCTTTTTACCATTAATATCAATAGTATCATATTGATTCTATAATTGCTAATCTTGAATTCATAACCTGAATTTGGTCCGTCAACATTTACTTTTATACATTTTCCTGAAGAATGTTCCTGCTGTTTTTAATTTGTTCTGAACTTTGCTGAGAAACAGCTCAGCTGACTGCAAAGTCCTCTTACAATATAAATAAAAGAATTCATCAATTTGTTCCACAATCAATCAACCAGTCAAATAGTGTCCATCATCAAAATTGCTTTTGTCTTTTATTATGGATTCCCATCAAATAGTTGTCCCTGGAGTTGAAAGGTCATAATGTTGTCTGCTGGGATATACAACAAAGAATGCAAGTTGAAAAAGTCCTAAGAGTGAACCAAAAAAATTTGGCACCTGTGGACATAAATAAAATAGCATGACAGCTAATGGGTCAAAATTATTGTAAACTATTTAAACAAATCCAAAAACTTGAAAGACATTTATTTTCAGAAGGAGCTTAGAAGAAAATATGAAAATAACTGTTAATTAGCAGGTATAAAATTGAAAACATTTTTATTTTAAGGAATTACAAAATCATGGCTTACGGTAATAATAATCACACTATTAATAAGCATCATAATAAAAAAACAATAACAGTAATTTTAAATGATGCTGAAACATTAAAAAGTCCACCCTCATTTTATTCACAGTAACCTCTTTAATCTACTAATAATTTAGATTAATATTTTACCTGCAAGTAAATGTCCATGACTAAATGTCCATAGTACAACCACTGAATAGCAACCAAGAAATTTGCAAGACACAGCGGGAATGCCATACTTTCAGTGCTCTTGGTCTTAATAACTTGTCTCTGTTAAATAAATTTAGAAAAAAAATATCAGTGAATGCATAGAGTTGACATTTTGACTAATATCCTATCCAATTATAAGCTTCTCTTTTCTGCATAAATAAATACAGAGTGAATTATTTTCATGTAAGGTAACAGTTGGCAGCTAAGCTGTTTGTACGCATTGTTATTAGCTGAGCTGTTTGTATGCAAAGTTGGTAGCTAAACGAGAATGAGAAAGCTATTAGGTGAGCTATTGCATTCAAGATTGACAGTCGAGCTAAATTTGCTTATGTACAGTGACCTTTCCGCCAGGCTCCACCCCTTGGATATTGTTGCTAAGGTCCCACAAACATGCACTGTCCTGATTAGTCAGTTTAAGTTTGATTGACATTTCAGTAAGGTTCACTGGTTACAGACAGTGGAGAATACACAATCTGCTTCGCAGAATGAATGGAGAACATTCATATACTTGTAACAAACTTACAACTGAGGCTAATGGCGATCCATATGTGACAACACTTGTAGTAGAGCAGATCAATCCGAGCCTACTGACAGCAGAGGCATGATCACTCACAAAGAATTTGATATAAAGCAGCACTGGAAAAACCACACATGATGCATAGAAGAAACTTTTATGTACACTACTCTGCAAAGTGAAGAAAATTCATGAGAAAAACAGTTCGATTAAAGCAATTATTTTTTTTCATCATATAATAGCTAGGCTTCTTTTATGACAGAATGATAAAGCTTTGAAGTAAAAAATAAAAGAAATTTTAATGAAAAATAATTAAAAATAATGAACAACATGGCCAGGCATCTCTACAGATGTAAAGCACATTCACAATAGCTGTAGCGTAGTTTCAGATGTAAAAAAAACTCAAAGAAATTAATCGATTATCTACATTATTATTGTTCTAAACAAAATAATAAGTTTTAAAGATATATTTTTTCTAAATTGGTCCTACAAAAATGAGTACAATAAGCATGAGGAAAGTATAATATAAATATATTCTATATATATTTTTTCTTATTATTTGTATAATGTATTTAGTAATCATTAATCTATATAATTAGTTTTATAGTCTGTGTTTAAAAAAAATACATTATTTATGAGTGGAGTCAACTCACTTTACCATCAGATTTCAATTTAATGTATTGTACCACTTAACATACTTACTTTTTCTAATGTATTCATATAGAAAACCATCACATAAAACCACTGGAACACAAGACCAATTACATTGGCTCTAGTAACGGATATATCTTGCTGTAGAATGCCATACTTTAACCAGAATATACAACTGTAAGTGAAAGATATTGGGTTTTGTTATGACTGAGAACCAATGGATAACCAAGGTATTATCAAATGACCCTAATATTGTCGTCTAAAAAAAAACACGCAATTTTAAGCCATCCTAAGCCATAAAATCTCTTCCACCAGGGATTTTATTCTGGGACTCTGACCAAGCTCTGAGTGACCCCTTGCTTTCGAATTGCTGCACACCCACACTAGTGTAAACCCACACTATGTTGCTTATCAACCACACAAGACTTAAGCAAAAAATAAATCTCAAATACGAAATCACATTACATAAGTGATGGAACAGTGAATTAATGAATCAATCATCAATTAAATGAAATTGATTCAGATGGGCTAATTGAACTTAGTATAATAATAATGTTATTTATTTGCATAATGAATTGTTTTGTTTTGTTTTGTTTTGTGTGATGTTTTGATGTCCAAAATTTATATAATTATTTGTAATCGATTTTGTATGTAAATATAGTGATGTTAACACTTGCGCTCTTGCAATAAAAGACATAATTATATATGAATAGTAAGTTAAAACTCTATAGTCGCTTCACCAACTTTGTACACTTAATTACCTCACGCTGCATGCTATAAATGGAAAAACTTCAACATTTTTCGTACTGCCTTGTCTTCTTATCTTCAAACACGTTGGTCTAAAAAGTATACGAAATGGATAACAATTTTGCATAGGATTGCGTCACTTTTGTAAACAATAATCGTTGATGTGAACACATCTGGTCAGGTTTGTAGGTCAGGCATGGACCTACTTAAAGTCATGCTCCGGAGGAAAATTTTTTTTATATGTTCTAGAACTGATTTTTCTTAGACATAAAAAGAATATTTGAAGAAAAATTCCAAAGTGGTTTATTGAGATACTGATTTATTTTTGAATATTTAAAAAGTGGGGGAAAGGGGCATAACCACCTTTTTTCCCCAGTTTTTAAATGTTCAAAAATCTTGCAAACCTGAAGGCTCAATCTCTACCAAATATTTATACTATAATTTTCCTATGTATGCAATAATTTTTTGAAATTTCCAATTTAATAATGTTTATAAGTAATAATTAATTTATACAGTATTTTGTAATATTTTTATCAATGTATTTAAAAAGACATCCTGTAATTGGCTTTTAGCTGTTGGAATTTGGATGGTGAGATTAATAAAATAAAATTTTATGAATCATTGTTGTCTGTCTCAGATACTTACATTCCAGCAAGAAAGAATGCAATGGATGACAATGTGGCTGAAAAGCCAACTATATGTACCCTGTCCATTTGTTTCAACTTCTTTCTATGTGTGGGAAAAATCGGTTACTTCGCCTAGGCTAGGCCTAGGTCTGTAGTAAAGGAGCGATGTTGACCTCCTACACGCAAGGTTGGGCGGCCAGGAACTGAACAAGATTAGGGATGAGGCCAGGCCTAGCAATGAAGATTATGTTTTGTCTGATAATCAGTAGAGTCTATTGATATTATACACGATAAACCACTGATCCTGAGAATACCCTACCAATACTTCTGAATTAAAGAGAATGTCAAACAGATTTCGTAAGATCTAGGCCTACGCTATCTCATTCTCGGTCCGTGTGCTTGCAACCACACACTTATCGTACGTGTCTCTTATGTAAATTTTGTAAACAAATGATGACGCCCCCATCGTTTAGATTGAAAAAAAAATACTGTGACGTCAGGTATGGTGAAGAATTAAAGTTTAAGGTAGGGGCTCTGGAAGTATGGTTACAAAAAAAGGAGCATGATATAATTAAATATAGTTTACACAAGACTTTCTTTTTTATTACAATGAAAAATAAATAAAAGATAACATTTAATGTAGAGAAAGGGTACCAAGACGATGATGTATAATGCACTCATTTGTGCTTTTTCTGACTTTGAGAACTAACCCCAATGTTGATGTCGCAAACAGGACAAACGGAGCACTGTTGTTTCAGACATTGACTTAAAATCGCCAAAAGTGTACTATCGAACAGTTGGTTTCTGAAACAGGAAAAAAACACATAAGATGAATGACTGATCGCATATCAATAACTATATGTCAAGATCATCCTAGCACTCATGCATCACTGCATGCACATCCTCCTGCATGTAATGTTATGTGAGAAAACATGCTGAGGGTTGCCGTCCACATTTATGAAATAATAGGCCTACTGTTAATTTTGTAAATTTATGATATGATCTTTATTCTTATGACAATGTTGGTGTTAATAGGCGTAGTCATACTCTGCTAAGGTGCCCTGATCAATGATTCCTGATGCACTTTAACTAGAGAGTGGGGCTACAAATAATGCGCTCCTTATGTTTAGGAAAATCTTGGAGTTGTAGTGTCAAAATGTTTGTACATGCTGGGCTACCATCATTTTACAAATTTTTGAGACATTCTGTTTATCAATTCCCAATTTAGTCTTAATAATTCTCTGTACATGTTGGTCGTATATGGTGTCTTACAATACTCATCAAGAGGCTAAACACTTTTTGGCTTCTATATTAATGTAGGCTGCCGAGTGTATAAAATATTCATTATTTTGTATTTGTTGTTTAAGTTGTGCTTCTTTTTCCTTTGTTTTTCAATATGAATTTAAAATTTCCGAAATTTAAGGATGATTGATTTATTATGAAAACATATAAAGTACAGTGTTATCATAATACCTGTAATAATGTAAATGGTTTTCATTGAAACTGTATAGCGCCCTCCATTGCCGGGTATGACGATCGATCTTCATTTCCCAAAAACAAATCGATCGGCTAGGCCTCCTTCTGTTCTGTCATCGTCGCTAGCTAGAATTTCGTCAAGTTGTAGTACTACTCGTCTTACCTGGGTACTGCTTTTATCCATTGGTAGCTAGTAACATTCCCTCCATCCACAAGTAATAACTACCTGATTTGTGGCACAGGTGAGATTGGCTTTTTATACTGTATATTCGGAGGCCTGGGGCTAGGCCTCCTAGTTAGGTAGGCAGGTGCTCCTTCAATCAACAGGAGAAGAAGACCCGTTTTGACCTAAGTTAAATCGAAGCTAGGGGCCTAGGCTTATCTGGGCTAGTTTGGCCTAAGCTAGGCATACAATACATGGCTAGGAAGGTTGGGGTGACAGCATTTTTATGTTTTTGCTTCTCCTCGACCTTTTGAATTTGTATTGTATTCGTTTTGTCATTTTGTATTTTATGCAGGTAAGTGACAAAAAATTTAAATAAATGCAAGGAATTCCTTTGCAGCCAGTACCATTTGAAAGAGCATTAATGTAGCATTACACTATACCAAGATCCTCCATCAAATATCAACAAAGTTACAGAATTTAAGGCCTAATTTTGGTCCTTCAAAACCAATGTAAACAATAGAAAAGTATGTGACCTTTTTTTTTGAAAAATGATCAAAAATTGCTTTAACTTCTTTGTTTTTAGACATATTTCAATAAAATAAAAGAATTTGAAAGCATACTGTACAACAAGGACAAAAGGAGAATTGTGAAATTCATTAAAATTCAACCATTTATTAATTAAATATTAAGTAATTAAATTAATTAATTACAAGTAACTAATTACCATATAGACATACCTCAATGTATAAAGACATTATGGTCAAAAGACTCAAATACAAGATTTTGGTGCTCAATACCAAAACTAGATATGAATAAATATATCAATTAACACAATTAAATTGGTTTCAGAGCAACATAAACTTGGACATTCAATTAACAAAACAAAACATAAATCGTGACTGTGTACATGTGTGTTGCGATATGTGATTGCAGCAAGACCAGACATGCATGACGTCAGCCTGCACCACACAAACAGATAGATTTGGGGAATTTCCATTCACAAATTACAAATTAAGTTTTATTTTTGTTCAAAAACAAGGTTTTGGTGTTCAAATTAACTAAATATTACACCCAGTTGTGGATGAATTTATTAACAAAATAAACTGGTTTCAGAACAAAATAAACTTATCTTCTCTGAAATAATTGCACGTTTTTGACAACCAAAAATTTGGGCAATAAATTCACTCACTTCGCGAAGTTGGAAAAAATTGGTTTGATGGCAGGGTCAAGGAGGAAAATATGAAGTACGTCATCAGTATTTTCGGGTCATGGGGAAAAAATAAATGCGACCTCTGTAGGCAAAACAATACAGGGTTGTCCAGACAGTCGAGTTGCTGCAGAAAATGATAGTGGTGCCATGGTATGGCGCTCTCAACGGCCGATAGTCAGTCACGTACCTATGCCGGAATGAATAGAATATATCGCCATGGCTAGAGATACGGTTCCGTATTTTAACTTCCGTTTGCTATCATCGTTAATGAATCACTTGCAGTGAGCTTGCTTTCTTGCTAAGGTGTTATAATAAGCAACATAAGACAACGTCGAACTCACAGACAACAAAAGAATCCCATAATTGAGCAACTCGCCAAAAATGAATACAGTATAAAATTAAAAAAGCCACGACTACAGAACAGTTAATGGCAAGCTTCTATTGCATATTCCAAAATCTAGTGATTGTTAGTACGTTAGTCACGTACGTTAGTACATTAGTCACTCAAAGATACATTATATTATGTAACACTTGTACTGTACAATAGCCTAGACTGTATACAATAAATTAGGTTATGTATGCGAAAGAGGGTATAATTAATTTTACCTTTTCCTGATATATTGTAATAATATTATTTGACCTGGCCTACTGTTGTATATTCCATTAATAATTTAATGGATACCAATGTTGATAACATCCAAGAGCACTTCAAACTTTGATTGGCCGGGTTGTGGTGTAGCTCAACAAAGCCTCATTTACTCCAAAGCAAGCATAGGAAGAAAATATTGTATTTGACATTGTTGTACTACCACCTTGAAACTAAGCCAGAAAGAATGAGTCTAAGGCATGTGGTGTCATTGACCTCAAGTGTTAATTTCATCACATTTTTGTTTGGTTCATCATGTGTTCTTGGTCAGTATTATTTTACATCTGAACACTTATTAGAATTCCCCCATCCCATCTATACTTGTTCACATTATATTTAGAAATTTTCTAAATTGTATATTTAGTAAATAACTATCTGTCGTATTTATTTATCGTGATAAAAAAAAGTTTATCAACTGCTCTATATTGCTCACCATTTGACATAGTGTTTACCGCTACCTCTATAAAGCCAATCTCACTATTCTTTAATAGCTCTCTCCCATTTCTCTTCCTTATCCCTTAGCCTTTTTGTTCAAGGTACTAATAAATTCAGTTGGTTGATTTTCCTCCAAGTAATCTGAGTTAAAAAAAGTACTATATAAAGTAATGATGAAGTTAGGGATAGTAAAATAATCTTGTTTAAGCTGATAAATTTCTGTTATTTTACTTTGAAAAGCATGTGGAGACAGTTTTTATTGTGGAAGACAATGTATTACAAATGTATGACCATTGAATATTACTTACAGTATTGGATTGAAACCTAAAACCATTACATGACTGTTGAAAAAAATAGCCAGAAAATTAAAGTTAATTATTTCTTTCTCCATTGATTAAAATGGAAAATCATAATTTTTTATTTCTTTTCATGCACGCATGCACACTTAAGGATTACTGTGAAAGTCTATAATTATTAATAGGCCATTCACTGTCAACTGAAGTTGTCAAATCCCATGGGTACAAAAAATCAATACACTTTCTCAATTGTAAATTCCTTCAGTATTGATCAATTATTTCAAAGTACCGTTATCTGTATCCCCTGCAGCGTGTTTTTTAACCTATATTTATTAATTGTTCTACCTTCAACAATGGAGTCTGCATGTTAAGTGTCTTGAAAACCTCAGCAGAACAAGATATATACTGAGCAAGATCGAGCATTGTTAAAGTAATGGTTGTTGTCAAGGTGTTGCTAAGGTTTTTTTTGTAAGAAATATGATTATCTAAACAAGGACCAGGTTTTTGAAAATATTGCATCTCAAATTTTTACTGCATGTGGATCAAACTATATTATTATTATATTAGCCTACTTTATACCATACTGGAGTTACCATAATAATAATAATACTTTGAAAAACAGTAAGAGTAAAATATCTATATTTTTGTAATTGAAATACTATCTTTAAGCTACAGTATTAAATTACATTTTGAGCATAAGCTATGTCACAAAACTTTATCATATAATAGAGAACAGTATACTTACAGACGAAAAGAGATTTTGTTGAGCTTATAGTAAATGATAAGAGAATAAATTTTTTTAGCTTATATTTAACATTATTCCATAAAAAATGTAATTTAATAGCTTAAAGACAATATTTCAATCACAAAAAGTATTAGCTATTTCACTCTTACTGTTTAAATCAAACTATAAAAATGCCAAAATGAAAACAAATAAAACCTTACTTTACTGTAGGAAAATATTATTTAAAAATTCACCTTATTGTTTGTTTAGTTTCTCATTTTAATTTGACAATGGTAATTTGTACAGTTACAAATTAATACGTTTTTTATTTGTTACTGAGTTAGTGACCTTTCAATATAGTGTACTTGTGGTTTATATCCTGTTTGTGCTTGTAGACCATTATGTGTTTTTAACGAAATTACCGCTGTATCTCCCACAGTGCAATTATCATTCTAGTTAGACGAGGCATAATCAGTGATGGAAGGTATAGAACCAGGCTCGGAGCAACCCAGCCAAGAGGACTACTACTCTCATTTGGGGAATTTTGAAGTAGAGAAAAAAATCGGCAAGGGTCAATTTAGTGTGGTTTACAGGGCAAAATCACTTGTAGATAGTTCCATCATTGCACTCAAAAAAGTCCAGGTGAGTATACATAGCAATTTAATATGTGACCATGTGAATAATATAGTTTATTTTTTTGTAGAACAGTAAAAAGTAATAATAATAGGAAATATATTTTTTTTTGTAAAAAAAAAAACTAAGAATAGATTTTTAAAATTTTGGTTAGATCTGACTTGGGCATCACAATTTTTTTTTTTTTTTTTTTTTTTGTGAGGAGTGGGCTTATTACTCCAATCATTGAATGAAATGACTGTATGGAACAGCTCCTTCATGTAGGAGAAATTCTGCAGCATTTTCTTGGTTTGTTGATTCAGATGCCAACCCTTTAAATCCCAGGGTCCTATAAGTAGGACCCTGGATGCCTAGATTTTATATTACAAATTTGAATTTAAATTTTTTGAATATATTGAATTTATAACAAAATCATTGAACTTCCAGTACACCATGTGTAAAAATATGGTTTTTGAGGTATGACCACTGGTTAAAATGTCTATTGTTTTTTAATTGCCTAAAGATCTTTGAAATGATGGATGCAAAAGCAAGACAAGATTGCATAAAAGAAATAGATTTATTAAAGGTGAGTAACGGCTATGTTGTGGCAGTCCCACCAAATCACATGATACTTAATTTAGATGAGCCCAGGTTTATCAATGTGTGCCAATGGAATATCCTACATTGAATATTCTGAAATATTTGTTATACATGCAGTATAATGCCTGTATGAAATTGGCTTTGCATTCTTTGATTTGCTCTCATCTCTAAAACTTCAGCTATTTATGAACTTTGAAATGTGTCTAAATTTGAATTAATTTAATGTATTGTTTATATTGAATTTAAAGTTTAAATTTCTAGGCTTCTTTGATTATGATAATAAAAGCCCATGTTAAAAATAAAACATGCCTGGGAAATTTTTTGAATGAGTGCAGTATTCCAATTGTTATTATTCACCTGCAATTAAAATATTCAATGTCATGTCATGTCAATCTGTTTTGTTGAGTAAGAAAAGAATTACATTATTGATATCATATTTAATATATTATTTACAGTAATTGCAACTGTTAATTTTATAAAATATATAGCATTGTATCATTAGCACTATGGTATTTTATAATGCTACTGTACATGATGTACTATACACCAAATAAATGTTCTTAGACCTCTTTTTAAGTGTGCAAATTACTTAATTGTCAAATGAGCAAATAACTAATAATCATTCTTTTTAATATTATGTTTTCAAAGAAATAGGAATGCAAAAAAACACATTAGATATACTGTAGATTGTCCTGTACAGCATGACGAACACCTGAATTACATTTAAAGAATCATAATTATTCAAGTTATTATTTATAGAAATAGACAAAACTCTTGCAATAGACATTTTGCCAATTAATTAAGTGAAAGGAAATCTGGTGTATTATAATTTCTTATTGGGTGTCGCTGGGACAGGAAGCAGTCATGTCCTCAACAGGCAAAAACATTTACGTTTGAACTTGCAGCGCATGTAATTTAAAACCAATAAGCTACTATATATCCTCCTTGGAAAAATATCGAACTAATCTATTTAATGAATTGTTTGTAATGATAACATCCCACAGGCTCCCTCAGGAAGTGTTTTTAATCAGAAATTGTGTAAGAAAGCATATTGCTATTCAGTTGGCTGAGGAGGAAGATGAGGAATTTGTTTATGTTAGGGAGATAGTGAACGATAATCAATCGTTCCTCCTTTCATTGCCTCAAGTCAAACTAATTCTGCGGATGGTTTATTATTTGTTGCTTTCAGGTAGAATTAGATGTACTTAAATATGTGCATTGCCTGCTTTCCAATCTTCAGACAAGATCAACCATTAACATTAATCAACATTACTGTATATGGATTTTGTATTTCTTTTTTAAAACAACACTGCCACTTTGCAGAATTAAAACACAAGAGTATTTCTGTCCTACACTTGAAATTTCTCTTGTTCTAGGCAATATATATGATTTGTAAACACATAACTTCATTTTCAAATAATTTAATTGATAATTTTTATTTTATTTAATAATACTTTTTGTATAATAGTAAATATGGTAATTGTTATTGTCATGATGGAATAGGCAATGACTGAATTTGCGTCAGGAGAATCAAGTATAGGTGTAATTTTGCCCAACCTGATGTGAAAATGTACTGAATACTTAGCACGTGTGAAAACACAAATTTGTGGGTTCGAATCCCACCCGAGAATAACTTAAGCATTTTTTTTTCACAAGTGTTTTCATGCATACTGAGTATTCAGTAAATTTTCACGTCAGGTTGGGCAAAGTTACACCTATAATAGTAAATACCTTACATATTTGTAAATCTAATTTTCATCATTTTCATTGAATGTAAGCTACAGTACAGTATAATACTGTAGTAATTGATAAACGCATCTACTGTACATTGATACCCATGTTTTATTGTTTTTATTTTATATTATTTCGAATTAACCTTGATATATTGCTTGATTGTAATTTCTTACAGTGCCGATACTGTCATTAGATTGTGTTTTCTTTTCTTTAATTTTATTGATATTGATTTAAGCAACTTATTGCCTCGTTTTTTGAGAACTGTATTGTATGATGTCTGCTTCCAATTCCTTTAAGTGATATTGATTTGGCTAGTAGTATTTTTTAATGGCTTCAACATCATTACTATGTGAGTAATGTAAGATTTTATTATACCTAGGCTTTTGATTTGTGATGTTAATTGAATTTTTCAGCAATTGAATCATCCAAACGTGATTAAATATTTGGCGTCGTTCATTGAAAATAATGAATTAAACATAGTATTAGAGCTTGCAGATGCTGGCGACTTAGCTCGTATGATTAAGGTAAGATTATTTAAAGTATCAGTACCATAATAAAATATTGCTATAAGGTAATTATATATTATCACCACAGCAACAGAGGCTGTATTCACTGCCTGTGTTTGTCTGTCTGTCTGTCGGTTTGTTCGTTTGTTTGTTAGCTCAATTATGCAAATCTAATGAATGGATTATCTTAACATTTAGTGGAGTACATAAGTAAGAGGGCATTAAATGTTGGGGTCAAAGGTAAAGGTTACGGAAAGTCAAAATTCATTAACAAGGATAAGTGGTAGTGTATGCACTTTTTTAAGCGCATTCAGTCTAGTTGTTAATAATCTGTATCAGTCCGAACATTCCCTCTTTCCTATAATAAGGGCAAGATTTCTATATGGACAGAAATTATTAAACAATCAAGAGTTGAAATAGATTAGCTATTTTATAGCGTAAACAGGGCCTTGATCTTGTCATGAGAAATCACCCTTTAAAAAGTTAAAGTTCAAATTTAGTTACTATATTTATTGATGTACCTGTACTTTGTGAAATTACGTATATGAAGGATTAATATGAAGTACCTGTAAATATAGAGTAAAGTATATTTTTCTTTCATTTGACATTACAAAACAGTGCTTGAAGATGAAAGGTGAATGTTTCAATTCAAACCCATCAGCTGTCCAGCTGTAAACAGGAAGTTTAAATGCCAATACCACCATATTTAATCTTCGTAATATTGTACTGTACTCATAATCATAGTTTTTGACAATGAAATTCAAATCTTCTACAACTCATCAATATTCATTAATATTTCATATATAGTGTGATGTATTTCAGCACTCTATATTTTTTAATAGTTTATATTTTGGTGTAATTATTTCTTAAAAATATAGTCCATTGTCAAATTGCAGGTGAAAATAAAGAAGGGAACTAATTTTTTTTTCTTTTTAGTTCATTGAGTGACAAGGAAAATATCATTACAAGTTCCTGTCAACTTAGTTTTTTTTACCTCAATGCAAATACTGTACTGTAATATGACTTAAATTTGTTTTTACTAGAAGATTCTTAAACCAAATATCATAACCGTATTTTTATATACAGTAGTTTTCTCATATATTCTATCTCATAATCCAAAAACATTATTGTAAAGTTTAGTTGTATTGAGGAAATAAAAACTGAATTCCAATTTCAAATAAGAAAGTGTGATTTATTTTGTAAATTGCACCATTTGTCAGGTGTCCTCTAGGAAGTTTATAGCTTACCATTTGCAGTTAAATTAATTTTTATAATTTAAATTTTTAGATATATTCTGGCGTACAACTTCTTTATCAAAATCACTTTGTAGAGAAGCATTAACTTGTTATGAATTAGTTGTAAAAATGCTGATATATGTGATCTGTAATTTATTTTGTGTGTTGCATATGTTATTGTCCATATTTTTAGCTTATTTCACACTTTACATATGACAGAATTATTACATGATCCCTGGAAAAATTTATGGTATCAAATTTCTTAATCTGAAATTTATAACAAGCCAATTTAATGTATTGAAGTCTAGATTAAAATTAATTCCCAACATATATTTTTAGATGTGTCCTAAATTTAAACAAACATAGGCCTATAATAAACATTCCTCCATTTAGCACAGAATTAAATGAAGTATGGCATTATTAAGTAACCCTGTTTCACCCGTACTAGTAGCATGAAAAATCGACAGACTAAAAAGAGACTAAAATAGTGCTTGAAGATCGTAACAAGTGATAGGTTATTGCTGAAAATTTGTAGCTATTAACTTGCATTGTATTTTAAACAGATAGAAATTCAGTGCCAAGTAGAGAGTTGGTATTAATTAAATCAACTATACAAATTCTAGAAAGCTATTCTAAATTCTGTGCACTGCCAAATCCTAATTGCCCTCTTCTTAATTTCATTACTCAACAAGTCGATTTTCGAAAGAATTGTGTGTTTATTTGTGATCCTTTTAGAGAGATGGTGACTCGTGCCAATTTACAATCATGTGCGACGAGTGTTTTTATATGCAAGATTTTGATTACTATGTCCGTGTTCTTGTACATGCAAAGGTGAATACTGAACATATTAGCGTCAATAACGTTGACAAAAATGCTCTGGTTATGCTAGTTGTACTCAAGTATTGAGGGCTAATATTTAGATCATGTTTTTTTTAAATGGCTGGCTTTTCTGTAGTCTACTCGTTGCTTTCCTAGCACAACATTGCAAGTAATCATGTTGCCATGGATTTTCTTCATAAATGAAAGAAAACTAGAAAGTATAATACATACTCCAAGGTTGAAATGCACGCCATCGTGTTGGGAATCAATATTTCAACATTAAATATGTCATCATCAATAATGAAAAATTATATATATTGGAGAATAAGTGTGGATGTAATATGGATAACTTGTATTTATAGTATTATACTTTCTTATGTGAGAATAATCAAATACCTTTTGGTTTTTGAAAGAAAAATATTAATTTGGAAAAAATACCATAATTTGTTAAGGTATCATTTTAATGAATAAGAGTATGTTACAGAATTTTGGTAAGAAAACATTCACTGGCTCAATTAGATTTGCTGTAATTAGTAGAGGCTGTACTCAGCCGTATCGTGTTTTGTTGCTGTGTGATAATTGCAATGCATACAGAACAGAATGAAAGGTTCTATTCCAATAACCACATTGCTGGAAGGCTTGTCTGAATGGAGCTGATGGAATCTGCAGTGACCCTAGTCTACCTTGAATAATTCTACTGAGAATTGTGGTTTCTAGATCCAATGACATTGTGAAACATTCATCGCATTTCTTAACTCTTATTTATGATTAATTTTTACAGTACATTTTTTAAGTATTGGAAACACTGTTTTTTTCTTGCTTTTTAATACACATACTTTGGTTAAGGAGATTAATTTGTATCCAATTTCATATTACTTTTTAAAAAAAATTGTATGCTTTCTTTTTACATAATTGTTGTTAACCTTATTATAAGTAATTAGTATACCTATATACTATACAAATAAAAAGATAAAATATGATACCAAATAATGTAATATTTCACCATCAACACAATTTTCTCCAGTTAATATATTAATATTCTATGGAGAAACGTGGCTACAGTATACAATAACAAGAAAATATGGCTAATGACATTTTTCACATGTCATTAAAAAATGCTTTTATTCAAAATTTACTAAATTACACTGTATATTTCTGTAGCCACAATGGATGGGTATTAGGGTACATATGAATGATTTGATGGTTATGAAGTTTTTTTTTCCTTCCTAAAAGCATTTCAAGAAACAGAAGCGTTTGATTCCGGAGAAAACTATATGGAAGTATTTTGTGCAATTGACAGCTGCCCTCAAGCACATGCACTCGCGCCGTGTCATGCATAGAGGTACGTGGTCTTAAAGTGGCTTTGTATATTATTTTGTGTTGGCTCTTAATACAGGTCTCCCTCTAAATTAATAAAACACCCCTCCAATTGAAGACTACCTCTAATTAAAGACTACCTCCAATTAAAGACCACTGTCCCAAATTAACAAAAGTTTTTTATCTTTATTATTCTAATTAGAGATGACAGCTACTAATGACCATGAACAACCTGGTCCCAAAAGTGGTTTTTAATTGTAATTCATCCTTTTATGTGGATAGAAATATGTAAATCATGATGACATCATTTTATGATTTTGGCTATCAGTATGCTTCACAGCTGTCACTACAGTAAAAGAGCCCCTTTAAGTTTCTGTTGTTTTATAGTTCTTGTCTGTTTAGTACAGTCTGCAAAGTCTACTGATCAAAGTGCAGTTTTTTATGTACTCATATACTCTACACATTTCAAAATACAAATATTTATTGTAGACTACAGTATGCTCTACTTAGGACTTTCCATTTTGATATTTAGTTTTTATTATGATAGAATTTAATAAATTATATTTATCTGATTTTACTTGTCTTTAGATTAATATATATGATTAATAATATTATATAATAGTAATAGTAATTTTATATTTGCCATTAGTGTGATAGCACTTTAATCATGTCTTAAACCTGGTTAAACAGACACTACGTTGTTTTATTGCAAGTGCTACAGTATACCACTCTGCATAGCTGTCCCCAACATAATCCAAAAGGTTTTGCAATTCATTTCTGACAGATTGAGAAAGTTAAAGCCCTTAAATTTTTCGTGATCAGCATTTTTTTTTTTTTTATTTGGTAGAGCATTCTAACACAAGATATCTAATTTGACTCTTATTTTGCATTTTTTTTCATGTTTTGGAATGTCTAAATTTAGTTAAAGCCCCATTCCCGGCAAAATTTCACTAAAAATGACTTTTTTTAGAAAATATGCATTTGCATTACTCCAATTATTATAAATCATGGAAAAATATTGGCATGAATTTTAGTTTTACGCAAAA